CTTTGCCGACTTCCCTTATCTACATTAGTCTAGTGACCAGAGGCTGTTCACCTTGGAGACCTGCTGCGGATATGGGTACGGTCTGACTGGAAATTTATGAGTCTCGCATATGGATTTTCAAGGGTTTCCAAAGTGCTCTGGACTGCAAGAGCCGCGGTGCTTACGGTGCCGAATCCCTATCTCCGGTTAAAATTCCAGGGACTTGGCATTAACAAGAAGAGACAACTCTCCCAGGACTTTGGAAACATCTCCATATGGGTTTGCGTTACCGCATATACTCTTGCTATAAATGAGCAACTCTCCCAAGTCAGGTTCTGGAATATTAACCAGATTCCTTTCGCGAAACACCAGACAACGTAAGGTAGTTAAACCTACGGACTTTGGTAGATTTCTCCCCATCGCTTAGACCGACTGACCCATGTTCAACTACTGTTCACATGGAACCCTTCTCCACATTGGTCCTCAAGGGTCTCACTTGAGTATTTGCTACTAGATCTGTAATAGTGATACCTCCAGGCTGACTTACGTCAGACACCTTCGACAGTATCACATTCTTCCTACTCGTCAAGGCATACATGCTCTCTCTTCATGTATTGTGGTTGCCGTTGACGGTCAAGTATAGGTTCAACGCTTGAGCGCCATCCATTTTCAGGGCTAGTTCATTCGGCAGGTGAGTTGTTACACACTCCTTAGCGGATTCCGACTTCCATGGCCACCGTCCTGCTGTCTTTAGCAACCAACACCTTTGCTGGTCTGGGCACCATAACGTTTGGTTCATCCCGCATCGCCAGTTCTGCTTACCAAAAATGGCCCACTGGGCACCATCATACAAGCTGTTCAGCTTTATGATGCTACGGTGTTACTACCATAGATCGAGCTTTTTAACAAGTTGAACTTCGCACCCATTAGGAGTTTGAGAGTAGGTTGAGGACATTTCGTCCCCAAGACCTCCAATCATTCGCTCTACCGGATGCTACTGTGTTTACTTCCGCTGGTGCCAGCTATCCTGAAACTTCGGAAGAAACCAGCTACTAGACGGTTCGATTAGTCTTTCGCCCCTAAACCCGGATCTGACGATCGATTTGCACGTCAGAATCGCTACAGACCTCCACCAGAGTTTCCTCTGGCTTCATCTGTCCGGCTTAGTTCACCATCTTTCGGTACTAGTATATAGAACTCCATGAAAATCACGGTAAGTGGATACAACATGGGTTGATGTTGCGGGAAAATATAGACAAGTCTATACCTCCATCACATCAATTTCTTTCAATACGCCTCTCAAGCCTATTCAAGACTGATCAGCTTGCATATATACTAGACTCCTTGGTCCGTGTTTCAAGACGGGTCGGATAGATTACCGATCTACTGACCGCCGAATCAAGTCAGAGATACATTGAAGCCATCAACAGACTGCCAGAGTCAATCAATCCATAAGTTGTTTCAACACTGGTGAAGAAACAGGTCTCATCGACGAAAGATTAACTGGGTCCGTCAGCATGTTCCAATGCACTACTACAATTAAGTAGAGATTCAGCCTAATGTGACATGCAGTGTGATTACCAATACAAGCTCACAGGCCAAGTCTGAAACTTGCAAGAAGAATCAGTGGCTGTGAAAACTCAGTATTGATTGGTTGTATGGTTAGTACACCCTACTGATATCACGAGAGTGGGAACCCGAAGGTAACCCTCACATTAGTCGCGGTTTGAGCACAAGAGTGTAAGAAAATGCACTTCTCATGCACTGTGGTCATAGTTACAAATATGATGCCATGATCCAAGGGTAGGCAAAGAGTTTCCTCCAAGTCTACTGATCTTGGAACACTGTAAAGCATTCAAGACAAGCATATGAAACAAACAGTGCACAAGAAGCTGAATTCTCCTCTTAGCTACACTTCGTGGTTCTATCCGTTTCACTACAAGCGGTTTCACGTCCTTTTGAACTCTCTCTTCAAAGTACTTTGCAACTTTCCCTCACGGTACTTGTTTGCTATCGATATTACCATCGTATTTAGTCTTGGGAGGTTACCTCCAATTTGGATACACTCTCAAGCAATCTGACTCTATCCGCGTACAAGTTAATAATTGACATTTCAATTATCAGAATCTGCTACCGGCCTAGAACCGTCTTTGGGTAAAGAGCCCTTGTCAGAGGGACTTACAGATCTGATTGACATCATAACTTTAACCATTACGCAGCACCGCTTTCCACCTTTCGATGGAAAACCTTGCGCCGGACTCATCCTTTTCACTCGCCGTTACTAAGGAATCTCGTTTGATTTCTTTTCCACCGCTGAATAATATGCTTAAATTCGGCGGGTAACCTCACCTGATCTGAGATCAAAGTTAAAGGTTTGGAAAGATCCAAACTATTGCTTGATAATGGGAGACGGGATACATGCGCTACTAACAAGTTATATATGTTGTGTATATGTTAAGTATTACAACAACAGAACCAACAGACTATAATTCACCTTTATGTAACAAACGAGATCCTTTAATATGAGAAGCCTTTTCTTCGGGTCATGTTAATCCGCTGTTCGACTTGAGCGTCGGCAGATTGACCAGCATTCTCAGGTATCCCCTGCCAGTGAAATATATTCCAACATCCCGTTGTTCTGTGGCTGTTGATGTATTTAACAATACACAACCAACAAGTTTTCACCATGCACCACCATCTATACAAACTCCTTACTAGGCTTGTATCCAGTTAAGGACCAAGCCAAGAAAAGGATTAAAATATTACGAAGCCGTATGTGAACTAAGTCATAGCAGAGTAGTAGTTAAACTACTGCTGCTAAGCATAGACCATCCGGTCATCCCTATACATGATAGACAGAGGCCCCTTGTCTATCTATGTGATAGTTAGTAATTTAATCTTCTCAACTCTCAGACAGATGTGACTTCAGAATAAACTGAAAGCCGCAATGTGCGTTGGAAGTTCAAGTGCTCGGCGTATCTTGCGATTCGCACCGGTTATCGTAGCTAGCTACGTTCTTCATCGATTGGTAATTCGAGTGATCCACCGCTTGTAGGTGTATCGTGCCTCCGTGGGACTTTTTTATCAATCTTAAGTCTGCTCAAGCAAAGACAATTCAAGTACTGTCGTATTAATCTACATGATTATGTGGATAAAGATATATCACATCTTCGAAAAGATGCCTGGCGGAGTCCACTTCAACAAGTCGCACATGACACCACTATAAATAGTAAATGACTATGTGAACAAGCTTATCCTCTTTAAACCTTGCATCCCAAGTTAATGGGCTACTAGGTACCAGCACACTAGCAGATTGACAATATACATGAATGTCAAGTTTCGTCTACGGATAATTATGGCTATCTTTGGATAACCTAGCACTCATGCTTTTACACATGAATGTCTAACCATGCAAGCATGGATTTTTATTGGGTTTGATAAAACTTTACTGCTATCAAAGTTAATCTATGCTTCTCTTATAGTCCTATAAATAAGATCTACGAAGAGATAAACAACAAGATATACAATATCGTTGATATCAATGGGGTTTGTTAATGATCCTTCCGCAGGTTCACCTACGGAAACCTTGTTACGACTTTACTTCCTCTAAATGATCAAGTTTGAACATCTTTCCAGCACAATCTGACTCTAAGTTTTACCTCATAGTCTAGATTGACCAGTCCGAAGTCCTCACTAAATCATTCAATCGGTAGTAGCGACGGGCGGTGTGTACAAAGGGCAGGGACGTAATCAACGCAAGCTAATGACTCACGCTTACAAATTCCTCGTTCATGGGCAATAATTACAATGCCCAATCCCCATCACGAAATGGGTTCAAGGTTACCACTCCTTTCGGAGCAGGAAACATTTACACGGTGACCACTTCAGTGTAGCACGCGTGCCCCGGACATCTAAGGGCATCACAGACCTGTTATTGCTCTGTTTCGTGAGGCTTAAGGCGCCCCTTGTCCCTCTAAGAAGTTCTTACAGTGCTACAGCATCCTTACCTCATTTGATTCTAAAGGCTTAACGGTAATAGAGCTTCGATCACCCGAAGGATCACAAAGATATTACCACCTCTAGGTCAACTAAGGGGGAATACTGCAGTTTAAACTGCAAGTCTATTTAGTAGGTTAGAGTCTCGTTCGTTATCGGAATTAACCAGACAAATCACTCCACCAACTAAGAACGGCCATGCACCACCACCCACTGAATCAAGGAAGAGCTCTCAATCTGTCAATCCTTTCAGTGTCCGGGCCGGGTGAGTTTTCCCGTGTTGAGTCAAATTAAGCCGCAAGCTCCACTCCTGGTGGTGCCCTTCCGTCAATTCCTTTAAGTTTCAGCTTTGCAACCATACTTCCCCCGGAACCCAAAAACTTTGGTTTCCCGGAAGCTTCCATTCGAGTTATGATAATATTACTCAGAATGATCGCTGGTTGGCATCGTTTATGGTTAGAACTAGGGCGGTATCTGATCGCCTTCGAACCTCTAACTTTCGTTCTTGATTAATGAAAACATTCTTGGCAAACTTTCGCTGTAGTTTGTCTTGCGACGGTCCAAGAATTTCACCTCTAGCGTCGCAATACAAATGCCCCGTCTGTCCTCTTAATCATTACCTTGTGTCTTTAAGACCAATGAAAATAAGACCAAGGTCCTATTTCATTATTCCATGCAAGATCATTCAAGGAAAGGTGATGATAGATATAGCTATAAATAGTCTATAACTTATCATACCGTGTTTAGGCACCTCTTGCGAGGATTAGAACGCCTTCTTTGAGCAATTTGAATTGTTCAAGGTAAAGGGTTCAATTGCTTGAACCGACACTCAATAAAGAGAATCGGTAGCAAATATTGAACATTTCTGTCAATACACTATTAAAGTAACCACCAGAAGAGAGTGATGCGGGGCCGTACAAGTTCGTGAGAACAAGTAAAGTCCCTAACAACTACGTCTACTTCCTTTTCAGTGGACCCAATAGGTATGACTGAAATCCAACTACGAGCTTTTTAACCGCAGCAACTTTAATATACGGGAACACGCAAAGTCGGCCCACCATCCACCCCGCCACTTCGACTAATTAAAGCCATGTTTGTGACGGCGACTTTATTACTAAGAGTAGATCACTAGGATCTCTAATCTAAACTACATGTGTTCCCGTCTAAGTTGCTTCGGTGTTTCTCGTACGTGGTTATTGTTCCATCACTGTCATCAGAGCCTGCTGTCTTCTCAGTAAAAATTTCGGACTAAGTCATGAGACATTGCAGCGCATGCCGTTTTCTTGTAAGATACGCACATGCGCTGACGAGTACTCATGTGTTTATGTCTGTTTCTCAACAGGATATGTTAGTATCCTGAAGAGTCATAACATGGTTAAAAAAGCTGACAGAAGTAACATAAACAGAGCAAACAAGTTTGTCTGAGAAGAAACTCTGACAGCTTGAGGGGTTTTTGACTTGTTGCCGACTAAGTTACTCGTGAGAAGACATAGGTCGTGATTGACAGTGATGAAGAAGGAGAGAGGTTAAAAGGTTAAAAGGTTAAAAGGTATAAAAGGGAAATATAATAATTATGTTAATAAGTTAGTATAATTAGACTAAAATGCTCCATTTTTCCATTGTGTATTGAGTGTGTACTTCTAGCGGAATATGTTTCTATTGAATATCTCATTCAGGCGTATGACCTGAATAGTTATACGCCTGGATTTGATGCTTCATGGCTATTAACCGCATGGGGCAGCATGGGTCTGTAGACTTGTGCTTCGCATCTCTAGTTGATCTCTTACAGTTAATACACAGCGGCGGTTTATCTAAATTAGGACAAAGCTTGGTCGCGTGTTTTTCAGAGCAGTGAATGCAGATCTCATCTCTCTTACAGTATTTAGATATGTGACCATATCCCTGACACTTGTAACATTTGACTAATTTGAAAAAATCTTCAACTCGACATCGTGAGTAATGGATGTAGATACAACCATCTTTCAATAATTTTCTACGTAACTCATGTGATGTCTCAATTACAAGGTCACAAGCATTTGAGTGCTTATTACCAGTTTCAAACTTAAGTTTCATCTCATCTGGTGAGAAGGAATTCTGGTTGGCTAGAGAGGTAATGATGGTTGACTTATCGATATCCCGTGCGACATTTTTGATGATCATAAGTGGTCTACGTTTCTTGATTATTTTGGTTTCGAATCCATTCTTGGATTCGTTTGCTATTAGACTTGCTGTAAACGGACTTGCTGTTCTTATTACTAAAGCTGGATTGTCAAATGTCATACGTATATTATCTATATGCATACGCGCTTCTGATGGGTTGATTCTTGCAAGAAATTGTTCTCTAAGAATTTTTGGGTCAGTTACTCCCTTTTTCTTGATGACTATTGTTTGGGTGAAGTCTTTTTTCTCTTGTTGTATTAGTTTGGCTACTGACGCGTAAGACTTTGACTGCTCTGTATCTTTATCTGGTGCATGATTGACTGTATGGGTGACTGTTTGACTCTGGACTGCGATCTCTTCAACTTTCTTGACTAAGTTCTTAGTTTGTGAGTCGAAAGCATACTGGAGACCCTCAACTTTGCCGTTAAGGCGACTGATATCTTGAGACATTTCATGGGCAACATTAACTATCTTAGTTAATTTGGTAAGGATGATATCACCTTGACCTTTTGTTATTTTGCTTGCTACACTCTGTACATATGATCTAAGATCCTCTTGGAGCTTCTCTATTTCTTTGATGCCTGAGGCCATGTTAAAATTTCTGTAATGTTAATTTGACTTAATAAAAAAATGATTATTGTACTATGTACTAAAACTAGGTCGCCAGCCTGTGGAGACAAAAACTCTATAGTATTGATTGATTGATTGATAACTCGTTTGATAATTTGTATAAGTTTGAAAAATAATAAAGACTCGAGGGACCCCTTTGGGTAAGTCAAGAGCTATCTTGTCAATCTGCGTATAGAGGGGAGTCAGGCGAATAAAAGATGTTAAAAACTGAAGGCTAAAATAATGATTGCGAGGTGATTTCGTGGTACAGTCATAAGGGTGAAATTTTGGTTACTAAACTATTCTAAGTGTTATATTAGTGGAAACGTTACTCTGTCTTTCTTTCTGTTTTTGAACTAACTCTTTTCTAACTATTAGTGTTATCTAACTACTCTAATGTGATCTCTATGTTACTAGTAAACTAACGAAGTCTTCTTTGATCCTAACACTAAGCTGATGTCTTACTATCTAATGGTTTGATTGATGGATGGCTATTTTTACTAAGTACTATCTGTATGGCTGCTACAAGTCTTGCTAATTCCTATTCTAATCTATTGAAAAATATCTAACACTATGGGAAACTGATAATGACTAACTACTTTTAACTGAATTACACTAATCTGAATTTTCAAGCTCTAAGTCTGCAAAACGGGAATCTTGTTACTAAGTACTGAAACTGGTATATTTGATGGTCTTTACTAAAGTCTAACAATTATCTCAACACTAACACACTTCTTGCGACACCTCACGACACCTTTCGACACCTTGCATAACACTGTCTCTGATCTATTAACTGTGTAAATTTGAGCATATTCTAAACACTATTCCTAAGTTTAACTACTCTTGGACAATGGAAGGGAAGTTAATGATAGGAGAGGGAAGGATAGCTAAAGGTATGTCTAATTACTAATTTCTAATTCCTAAGTCAGAAGCCTTCATCTGTGCATGTCATCGATGTTAGAGAGGTTTGGATCCATTCGTTAGAAAGTAACCGCACACCAAAAACTTCACCCAAGATTCACCGTTTCAACATGATGTATTTTCCATTGAATTTCTCCCAAGGGAGTCTTTCAAAGGATACCATCATGTATCCAGGCTGCACCTGTTAGAAGTTTCCTAGTGATAGGAAACTTACACCGAACTTCACCAAACAGTGAAGCATCACTCTTCAAATAAGAGCTATCTTCCTATATTAGAAAGCACAGGTCTGTGGAATCAAGACGAAAGCTTTATATTATACAATCTTCCAGTAATTACTCATACTATTTTTCCCTGTGAATAGTTAACCTAATTCTACTTTAAGTTTTTCCGGCGTGTTAAATTCATTGTAGATGTGGCACTAAACACATAAAAGTTAGAGTGGACCCCATCAGGGTGGTCCGGAGCGATCTGGTTGATTTGTAATATAGAGGCGGAGTCAGGCGATATCCAACTGGTCACCTCCACGAGGTAACAGACGGTAAACCAATGGACGGTATCTCCATTCCGGGACTAACCTTCAGCAATGAAGGCGTGACGGTAAATGTCGGCGTTGAGTTACGACTAGTTCACTCTAGTGGAAACTTTTAATACGTCTCTCACGGAGGAAACACTCTTCGGAGTGATGTAAACACCTGATTTCGGGCCTCTTTACACACTCACTAAGCAATTAGTAAAGCGAAGAACAATTAATCTGTGTAGAGATACGTTGACAGGGAGAGTAGAAGAGAGTAAGCCTTGTTTTGCGTGTAGATCCATCTGGAACAGAGCCTTCATATCTCTGTGGTAGCCAGGAAGCGCCTAGAAAGCGGGGAGTCGTACGAAAGTACGGCGTGGATCATGCACGAACTTGAGCGAAACCTTCGTTAATTCCGAAAAGTAGCCACCTTAGTGCGGGTGTGTGAATCCTAGGGCCAAGACAACTTTAATATACGGGAACACGCAAAGTCGGCCCACCATCCACCCCGCCACTTCGACTAATTAAAGTCATGTTGTGTGACGGCGACTTTATTACTAAGAGTAGATCCCTAGGATCTCTAATCTAAACTACATGTGTTCCCGTCTAAGTTGCTTTGGTGATTCTCGTATGTGGTTATTTATTTTCATCACTGTCATCAGAGCCTGTTGTCTTCTCAGTAAAAATTTCGGACTAAGTCATGAGACATTGCAGCGCATGCCGTGTTCTTGTAAGATACGCACATGCGCTGACGAGTACTCATGTGATTTATGTCTGTTTCTCAACAAGATATGTTCGTATCTTGAAGAGTCATAACATGGTTAAAAAAGCTGACAGAAGTAACATAAACAGAGCAAACAAGTTTGTCTGAGAAGAAACTCTGACAGCTTGAGGGGTTTTTGACTTGTTGCCGACTAAATTACTCATGAGAAGACAGAGGTCGTGATTGACAGTGATGAAGAAGAAGAGAGGTTAAAAGGTTAAAAGGGATAAAAAGGGAAATATAATAATTATGTTAATTGATTAGTAAAATTAGTCTAAAATGCTCCATTGTGTATTGAGTGTATACTTCTGGTGGAATATGTTTCTAGTGAATATCTCAAGGTATTAAATGTCATCAAATGAATAATTGAATGCCTGAACTTGATGTTTCATTGCTATTGACCGCATGAGGCAACATGGGTCTGTAGACTTATGTTTCGCATCTCTGGTTGATCTCTTACAGTTAATACACAGCGGCGGTTTATCTAAGTTGGGACAAAGCTTGGTCGCGTGTTTTTCAGAGCAGTGAATGCAGATCTCATCTCTTTTACAGTGTTTAGATATGTGACCATATCCCTGACACTTGTAACATTTTACTAATTTGAAATAATCTTCGACTCGACATCGTGAGTGGTGGACGTAAATACAACCAGTTTTTAATAACTTTTTCCGTAGTTCAACTGATGTCTCAATCACAAGGTCACAAGCGTTCGAGTGCTTGTTACCAGTTTCGAACTTAAGTTTCATCTCGTCTGCGGAGAAGGAGTTTTGGTTGGCTAGAAGGGTAATAATGGTATTCTTATCGATATCCCGTGCGACATTCTTGATAATCATGAGTGGTCTGCGTTTCTTAATCACCTTATGTTCGAAGCCGTACTTGGAAGTTAGGCCTATCTGACTTATTGTTAGCGGATCTTTTGTTCTAATTACTAAAGATGGATTATCGAATGTCATGCGTATATTATCTACACGCCAAGGTCTTGCTATTGGGTCTATTTTGTCGAGGAACTGTTCTAAAAGAATCTTTGGGTTATTTACCCCTTTCTTCTTAACAACGATAGTTTGTGTGCAGTCTTTTTTCTCAAGTTGTATTAGTTTTGCTACTGAAGCATAAGACTTTGGTTCATCTGTTTCTTTTTCTTGCACGCGACTGACTGTTTGGCTCTGGACTGTGATCTCTTCTACTTTCTTGGCTAAGTTCTTAGTTTGTGAGTCAAAAGCGTATTGGAGACCTTCAACTTTGCCATTAAGGCGACTTATATCTTGAGACATTTCATGGGCAACATTTACGATCTTGGTAAGCTTTGTGAGGATGAAACACCCTGGCCTTTTGTTACTTTGCTTGCTACACTTTGTACATATGATCTAACTTCCTCTTGGAGCTTCTCTATTTCTTTGATGCCTGTGGCCATGTTAAATTTGTAATGTTATTTTGACTTATTAAAAATGATAATTGTACTAAGTACTAAAACTAGGTCGCCAGCCTGTGGAGACAAAAACTCTATAGTATATTGATTGATTGATAGCTTATTGGATAATTTGTATAAGTTTGCGATTGTAAGACTCGAGGGACCCCTTTGGGTGAGTCAAGAGCTACCCTGTCAATCTGCGTATAGAGAGGAGTCAGGCGAATAAAAGATGTTAAAACTGAAGGCTAAAATGCTATCTATGAGGTGAGTTCATGGTATAGTCATGTGGCTAAAATTTTGGTTACTAATCTTGTTCTGTGTGTTGGATTAGTGGAAACGTTGATCTGACTATCTGTGCTACTTTTTGTACTTTTTACTAACTTCTTGCTTTATCTAACTACTATAATCCTAATTCTTATGTTGCTTGTGAGCTAAACGATGTCTCTTCTGATCCTATTACTGAGCTGATGTCTTATAATCTGATGAATTGAAGGATGGCTACTTTACTAAAATCTATCTGTATGGCTGCTTTGAGTCTTGCTAATTCCTGATCTGATTCTATTGAAAATATCTGACACTATGTGAAACTAATGCGACTAACTACTGCTAACTGAATTGCACTAAACTGAATTTTCCAAGCTCTAAGTCTGCAAAACGGGAATCTTGTAACTAACTACTGATACTGGTATATTTGATGGTCTTTACTAAAGTCTGATAATTATCTCAACACTAACACACTTCTTGCGACACCTCACGACACCTTTCGACACCTTGCATAACACTGTCTCTGATCTATTAACTGTGTAAATTTGAGCATATTCTAAACACTATTCCTAAGTTTAACTACTCTTGGACAATGGAAGGGAAGTTAATGATAGGAAAGGGAAGGATAGCTAAAGGTTTGTCTAATTACTAATTACTAATTCCTAATTCAGAAGCCTTCATCTGTGCATGTCATCGATGTTAGAGAGGTTTGGATCCATTCGTTAGAAAGTAACCGCAAACTTGAGAACTTCACCCAGGATTCACCATTTCAACATGATGTATTCTCCATTGAATTTCTCCCAAGGGAGTCTTTCAAAGGATACCACCATGTATCCAGGCTGCACCTGTTAGAAGTTTCCTTGTGATAGGAAACTTCACCCGAACTTCACCAAACAGTGAAGCGTCACTCTTCAAATAAGAGCTATCTTCCTACGTTAGAAAGCACAGGCTGGTCTTGGCCCTAGGATTCACACACCCGCACTAAGGTGGCTACTTTTCGGAATTAATGAAGGTTTCGCTCAAGTTCGTGCATGATCCACGCCGTACTTTCGTACGACTCCCCGCTTTCTAGGCGCTTCCTGGCTACCACAGAGAAATG